TGGATATAAATAACGTCGAAAACGGAGCTCGTATGCGAAGGTTACGGGGTTTAGAAGTCGGCAGGGTGCTGCTGCAAAAGGGGTGACGTGGCATAATCTTGGCCATTGCTTTCTCCCCAAGGCTTGCCACTAGATGGTGACATGTGGCACCAACTTCAGTCATACTTCACCCTATAAATACAACTCATTTCACCCTCATTTCTTCACACCTCCACCCTTCTCTCTCTACTCTCTCTCTCTCTCTCTAAACCTCCAAAACTCCCCTAGCGCTAGAAGAAAGCCCCGGAGCGCTCGACGGCTCCGAGAAGAAGAGCTTTCGGCTCGGAAGTTCTGCCCCTGCAGAGCGCGGCTTCTAGCCAAACCCCCTCGTAGGTAAGATATGCCTACCTAATTTTTAATATAGCTTTTATTTAAATATAGTAACGTTATTAGGACCTTATAATAATTATTTGAGCTATTATTATGGGTTATATAAGTGTCGTTATAATATCTTTTTAACCACTCGCCGTACGGGGAATCCGGTTTGAAGGGCCACCTGAGTTGTTGGATTTCAAAAGTGTTATATGCCCTAAATAATCCTACCCTCCGGTGTTTTATGTTTGGCCCATGTCTACACATAGTGGTTGGAAAATATTGTTTAAACGCTTATATAATAATAATAATAATAATAATAATAATAATAATAATAATAATAATAATAAGACTAATAATTAGTAATGGTAAATATTATACTAAAATCTAGTGGTAATAATACTAGGTTTCGTCGAAGGAAATTATTTTAAAGTAAACGAAGCGCTGTCCGAGTACCGAGTCACCACCTTATCAAGTGATTGCATAGTCCCTTTCATCTTACACATAGATATGAAATATTTAATATAAATTACATGCTATTTTATATCTACAAAATATGTTGGGTAAAACATGGGTAGATGAAATAGTTGCTGTTTAACAAAAACAAGATGATGAGAGGTGATATAGACCATGAGATAAGGGTGAGAGGTAAACCATGAGAGAAGCCTTTTACCCATGTGTTGGCCTCGTCATTCAGCAGAGTATGGATGACAACCACAGACTATTCTAGACAGTCCAGTGGACACTAGCAGGCTCGCAACCTGTAGGTGTTTTGAACTGTGTGCTCACCAGCTGTACTCTAAAAACCCATTGACATGTGTTGTGAGAGGAGTCTCGAAAACGACATTGTCGATAGACGAGATTAACCCTGGCGACTATGCAACGTAGTGCCTAAACCCCTTGACATGTGTTGTCAGAGGAGTATCGGAATCGATACGGTCGATAAAAGAGAATAACCCTGGCGACTATGAGACTTAGTGCCTATTGAGTAAACCATGGCATCGATGGACTTCGTGCCGATTCCTTAGGATAATCCTTAGGAATGAATGAACGATGAATAGCTGATTCTTATGGTAGATCCTTAAGAGTAAATAAGATAATGTGGATGGGTAATTGGGTTGATTGTTTGATGTTTAAACATAATAATTATATTATTGTGGGTTGAAAACCCTATGTACTCATCAGGTTTCCCAACCTGACCCACTCAAGCTTATTTGTATCATAGGTGTCAATATGAAGCTACTTTACACTGAGAGATTTAAAAGAGATGTAGATCACTAGTGTAAATGAATGTAAGTTCTGTTTATGCTTATGTTTCTGTATTGACGATGACATCCCAAATGTTTTAAAATGAATAAAAATACATTTCTTCGGAAATGCTTTGATAATGTATTTATCATGTTTTACTGGGAACTAATTCCACAACATTTTTATTAAAAGAAGTACTCTGATTTTTATAAAGTATAAACAAAATCGGTCTTTTCGGGCCGTGAAAATGGGGATGTCACATCCAGTTAATTTGGATTGAATGTGTCGTCGCCTACATACTTTTTCTTTCCACTAGGGATATTTTTTTGTCTAGTCCCATGTTTTTTTTGTAGTGTAACGTCTATTTTTTGTTTTGTTCAATATAAAACCTAAGGAAACTGCTATACATACTTGTGGTCTCCAAACTTTTTTTTATATATATACTTAATGTTTTGTTCTATATGGACAAATTTTGTGTTGTTCTATATCTATTTATCATATTATGTTTATGAGGGCTATGTGACTTTTGTGGTGGTTGAGACTAGAATTAGGGCACAAAAGAGATTTACAAGGGGTGGAAAATGGTATATTTTAAACACTTAAATAAGTTGAATGAGTCTTAGGTCAATACACAACATTTAAGACATGTTATCATGCCAACATGGCTTCAAAACCGGGAGGACCTTTTAATCCCGTAACCAATGATGTTTTAAACACAAAATACAATAGTTCATTACCTTTTGACAATGTTCATTTAGTTTAATGATATTTTTAAAATAGTTTATATAGTTTGTTATCCATATATGTCGTTTCCCTTTTTAAAAATAATGAAAAAGGTCGATTTTGGGTCTGATATTAAAATTTGGGCCAATTTTATACACAAAGAAAGTTGAATGAGACACATTTTGGATCAGTTCCAGGACAAATGGCCAGGTTATCCTCGATCTTGGTCTTAACACACATAGACAAAAAAGATGACAGATAATTCAAACCCGCACATTATGGATAGTAGCATAAAGTAGTTTGGATTCCTTTCCTTCAAAACTTAATACTTACTAGCCTTCTGTAAATGTTTCGTTCTTTAGCTTCTTACAAGTTGTTTACAAAAATCCAATTATTACAAAAAACCCTAATCGATGTCAAAACAAATGCATTTAACAGCGTGTTTGACTTATTCTTTTTAGAAAACGTCATTCGATTAAAAGAAACATTATCGAAATTGTTAGAAGAAATAATAATCATATTATTTATTGGTTGCAAATGGTTAGTATTATTTAATTCTTGTTAGAACCCCTTCTTCCCCATGTACACTTACCTATGTAAATCAATTAGATCTCTTTTGCATTATGTCTACCCGTATCTCTACAATTGAACATGGAGCTCATATGGGCCCATAAACATAGTAATGCAACTAAAATGACATTTGGCCTAACCATATAGGGTGGTTGAAAATGTGTGATTTTCATAAGAGGTTAATGGTTCAAGTTCAGTTGTGTACAAAAATAAGAGTTTATGAGTACGATTTAAACGATGTATGTTAGCACTTCAATAAAAAAAACGCAAGTGCGATCCATACAAGCATTTAGGTTGCCAAAATCCGACAAATCCACCAACAAAATTTAACCTCATTTCTTTTCATCAATGGAGTGAATAGGTATTACCAAATAACTTCTAGCCCCAACGGTATCATGTGTTTGTGTGTGTGTTTATCGATGTGAGCCATTGTTAGTCATCTTCTCAAATAAAAGGAACCGAAAAACTAAATTAAAGTACTTTATTAGTATAATTTTGTTATGAAAAATCAAAATAAACATTTGGATTAATACTTTATATTCGACAGGAACCATATAATAAATAAAGGGTTTTAAAATTATTTTTGGCTAAACAACTATTTTCAGCGTAGCAAATGCAATCTTACAGACTTTAATATTATGAGAGTTAATCATTTATAAAAGCTGTTCCAAATTGATTAACACGATCTACTATATAGCATGTGCTAAGGTTAGCAACTTTTCTTTGTTACAAATTCGGCCCATATGTTAATTTTGTTTTTAGAAATTTGGTTTCAGCTTCTCTATAAATTGTTTCATTTTTTTTCAACTTTATTTTTAACATGTTTTTAATTAAACTAGTTTTATTTAAAAAAATTTATTTGACTTTTTAATATATACATTTCTATGTATGCTTTTTTTGTTTTTTTTTTTTTGTGTGTGCGATTTTCTCATGGTAATTCTTGATTAAACAACGTACACTTATCTGTTAGGTGCATCTAAATTTAAAACCTAATAAATAAGGCGGGATTTCATTAAACATTTGGATAATTTCACTCAATAGTCACCCGCATTAGAAATAATTAACGTGAAAAAAAGTATTATATAACTTTGTCAATAATTTCAGCCCAATCATTAAAACACTAACTGCAACCATAAGTTGAAAACTCAGCTCATAATTTGTCGAAATTCCGTACAGCTACAAATTTGCTTCACTCCTTACCAAATTCATCGCAGTAAATTGTGGGATTTGAATTTAAAATACGGATACCATCAATTCATATGATGTATGTGGATTATTATAGAAATTTTATCTTGAATTACTTTTAAAGATGCCACATCAGTATTACGAGCATGACGTTCTTCAACATGCATATTAGAGCATCCATAATAGTGAGTTCAATAGGAGAGTTGAATGAGGTGGCAATTCCATGTATCATTCAATGGATGAAATTCTTTAGCATTCAATGAATTTGGAGTTCAATAACCATTGAACTCTTCAATGGAAAAAATTAAACCTTTTAATTGTTAAATATTTATTATAAATTACATTTTGTAACATTCTATTGAACTCTGTAGAGTTCAATGCATTGCAGAGAAAAAAAATAATAGAGTTATATTGATTGTAGTAAGATGACCTGACAATCCGTTGAAATCTGGGTTCAATGCATTGTGGATGCCCTTATACACAATTAGAATCTATGACAGAATTGTATCACTAGCCAACAATCTTTTTTTCTATTACCGAGTACTTCCTATTATACTTACTCCTTCTGTCTTTTAGAATGAGTCTTGTTAAAACACGGTTACAAAGTATATCTTAGAATCTTTTTGATATTTCATAAATTTAAAACTAAATAAAGGTTTTGTTTTGAAATTTGTTTTGGGCCCCTACTTTTAGTGGTCGTATTCCCGAGTGGATGATCTTATGCTGTTACAAATATATGATTTTTCATCTTAAGTTGATTCTCTCCCTCACTTTTTCTCTCTTTTATATATACACAAACTGACAAACACGCATAGCGATACCAATTACCACACTCTGAACGAACTTCTTGAAACCTGATATAAAATTCTCTGATCATTTTAACAATTTAACAATCTTGATCATACATCAAGCTCTATACAGTTATGGAAGCTCATGCTCTTTTCCTGTCGTCACCTTCTCCGTGGGTATCCCTAGCTGGCCTACCGAGAAAGCAATCTCTTTTCATTATTGACAAATTACCAGCACGAACCACTGCTATACGTACCCATCTATTATCTAACCATGCTTCTGTAACAGCTCCTAAACGGGAAAAAGATCCGAAAAAACGGGTAGTTATAACGGGTATGGGTCTTGTCTCTGTGTTTGGGAACGACGTTGATACATACTATGATAGACTATTAGCTGGAGAGAGTGGAATCAGTTTAATTGATCGATTCGATACCTCCAACCTCCCCACACGTATTGGTGGCCAGATTCGAGGATTCCAAACACATGACCTCATTGATGGCAAAGTTGACCTTGGACTTGATGACTGTCAACGATATTGCATTGTTGCAGGGAAAAAAGCTCTTGAAGATGCAGCTCTTGGAGTCAATGAACGCTCAAAGGTTCTTCATTCATCCAATATTTCATGTCTTCAAATATAAAGTCCAATGGTTAATTTACGATATTTTCTGACATGTGCAGATTGATAAGGAGCGTGCTGGCGTGCTTATTGGATCAGGAATGGGAGGTGTTAGGGTATTTTCTGACGCTGTAGAGTCTCTAATAGAGGGAGGTTATGAAAAAATATCACCTTCATTTACACCTTATTACATAACAAACATGGGTTCAGCGTTACTTGCAATTGATCTTGGATGTATGGGACCAAGCTACTCCATTTCAGCTGCATGTGCGACATCTAATTTTTGCATCTATGCGGCTGCTAATCATATCCGTGAAGGTGACGCTGATTTGATGATAGCTGGTGGCGTCGAAGCTTCATGTATTCCTGTTGGATTTGGAGGTTTTGCTGCATGTAATGCACTGTCAAAGAGAAATAATGATCCCCAGACTGCTTCTAGACCATGGGATAAGGATAGAGATGGAATCGTCATGGGTGAAGGTGCTGGTGTTTTGGTAAACTTACCACCCATGTTGGACTTCACTATCTACAAAATCCTATTAAAACCACAATCATAATGATGATAGAGAAAAGCAGATCACAATTCATCTTTCTTGTGAAAACTTTTTTTCTAGCTGTTTCTACTTGAATATCAATCTGATTTTGTATATATTTATGTTTCTTTTCTGTAGGTGATGGAGAGTTTAGAACATGCAATGAAAAGGGATGCACCAATACTTGCTGAATACTTGGGAGGTGCAGTAAATTGTGATGCTTATCATGTAACTAATCCACGATCTGATGGGCTTGGTCTTTCGTATTGCATACAAAGCTGCCTTATGAATGCTGGTGTGTCGGTAGAAGAGGTATGTTTCACTTAATTTCTCCGAGTTTTTTTTTTCCATCATGTCATATTTTAGGGAAATTTAAATTAACTATGAGCACCCACTATGCCATTTTCTCAAAGGTGCATAGGAACCATGAACGGATGAACCGCTTCATAAATTCAATACTCATAGTAGAATGCTTATGCTTATGTGACATAAAACAGTCCATATGTACTAGTGCATCAAAGAAGAAATATGTGGTTCAAAAGTTGATGCATTCTATTTACACTTACATTTATGCAAATGTATTTAATATAATAGGGCTCATAGGTCACACAACTCATAGAATTAATAAGAAATTTACACAAATGGTCCTTAAAACATACAACACGACCCCTTACCTTATAGACTATATTATATTTTTATGGTTTTGTATTTTGTATTTTTATATTCCATGTTTACCAAATTTGTATATACACTTAGAAATACATGTATCAGCCACGATTGCGAACGGATTGTCAGTCGAAAAAACTCTTATTGCTAATTGTGAGCGACAGATTTAGTGACGGAGTAACGACTACACAAATTACTCAGGGAATCTTTGAGAACGTTTGGATTCCGTCGTTAATCCATCGCTAATTTCCGTAGTTAATCCGTCGGTGATTAGCTCATGCAACTAGTAAATTTCGTCGTTAATCCGCCGTTATTATGTGTAAACTAGAGACAATCTAATCCGTTGAATATGTTTCTCTAACCGAAATTCAAAAATGAAATTCAATAACCAAATCATTATTTACGACTACCAAATAAATATTAATATTCAACTAACAAACAATTTCAAGTATCAAAACCAAATCATAAAAGTCAAAAGTGTCAAATTCTAATTAGACGGGTAAGTTATTTCCTTGGATAATCTTTAAGATTTCGGTATGCATCTTGGCGAATTCTTGTCTTTTGGCCTCAATTTTTTCACGTTCCACCTTAAGCTCTTATTTCGTCTACTCACTGATCAATAATTTACAAATATGAAAACAAAACACTATAAACATATAGTAGCTACTATTAAAAAATATTAATAAAAAGTCCTAAAGAAGATATAAAATTATCATTATGGTATAGAATCAGATAGCAACGGGGAGAAATGTTTACATGATTATGTAAAACATGACACATGTACGATCCACAAAGTTTAGGCCTCCAGTTATTCCCTAATTTGTAGAATTAACAACAATAATAATTGTAAGACACATGAGTTGAAAAACAGAAATATATGGTTTTTAACTAGGATTATTTACATATGCAGATTCCAAACACGGCGAACCTTACCCTCCAAAAGATGTCATGATAGAAATATATAGTTTTTTATAGCATATCTTATTAAATTATTTTGCAAAATCAAACATGTCATGATAGAATAATGGGGTTAAGTGCAAGAAATGACAACAAACTATTATTGATTTTTTTTATCATATATAGAGCGACCAAATGTGTACACGTGGGATAATTGGATGGCGAATTTTCACCTAAACCTATTTGAAAACAGAAATTGTGAAATTCATGAATAAATGGAACACTAAGTATCACTCCTTCATTAGACCCGTAGAATGCTAACCAACATCAGCAACATCAATTTGAAAGTAAATTTATGATTAAAAAAGTAGTTATATATTATATATTATCAAAAAATTCCAAAGTTATATATACAAGAAACCAATTTGAGGCCAGATAATCATTGAACAGAAACCGATTGTGATCTTGGATAAGTACCCATGTTCCTACAGAAAACATTAACAAAAACCCAAAATTACTTGACTAAGCATCAAAAATAGGAGTTTGTAGTAGAAATTGAGGTGGTGAAGCTGGTAGAAAATAATGGTGAGGTCCTTCAAGAACTAACACTCTAAACATATAAATACAAATCAAATAGGAGAGTTATCACTCCGAACATATACAAATACAAATAAAAAAGGAAAGTTAATTTTTCATTAACTCTCTAATGGATGGATTAGGCCCGTTTATTATACTGATTAGAATCCCTAGTAATTAGGGTTGTAAAGGAATTGAACATTCAACGAACTGCTTCATGAACAGTACGGCGGAAAGTTTGTTTATTTAATAAATGAACGATCATGGACACGAATTCTCTTTCGCTTAGTTAAACGAACGAACATGAACAATGGTCTCATTCGTTAGATTATGTTCGTGAACGATCGTTTATGTTCGTTCACATAAGTACCTTTTATGTTCATATATGCTTAGTTGTGTTTGATTACATTACTATATTATATGTTCATTTATGTTCATATATATTCAATTATGTTTGTTTATCTTTGTTCATTTATATGTTCGTTCGTTTATGTTCGTTTAGCATGTTCATGAACACAAACGAACGAACATGAACAACGTAATTTGTTAAACGAACGAATATGAACAAGAAAAATCATTCGTTTATCAGTTTGTGTTCGTTCATTTATTCCACTAACTTAAACAAACGAACATAAATAAGCCCTTGTTCGTGTTTGTTCGGTTGGTTTATAGTCCTACTACTTATTTAAATATCAAACACTTAAACTATGTATAAACTCATATATTCCATAAATTTCTATCTTGAGTTGAGTCTTCTAGTATTATAAAAAACTATTGTTGTTTAGTAAATCCAAGCAATGTAAAAGTTGCTTTCAACGATTTTGTTTTTTTTTCAACATTACAATGGGTATACCCATCATATGTCAAGTTCTTCTTTAGCTTCACCAAGGTTGTGAAAAGGAAGAAGAATCTCAGTTTCATATCATTGACCATCTTGCTTTTGAATAAAAGCATTCAAATTCACTCAAATTACCTAACTAGGTGGTGGTTGTTTAAAATAATGAAACAATTCCTCTCTCTTCTATAAGATAATAAATGAAATTGAACTAATGGGAAGAGTGACATTTTGAGAAAACATAAATTCATAAAATGCCACTTTTCATTGATTAGTGATTACAAGATGTAGTTGGGGGGAGGGGTTTATGATTATGAGAAAACAGAAATTCATACTTGGATGAAGAAAGAAAGAATCCTACTTATAGTGAAGAAGACCAAAATCATAATTACAAATAAGAGATATGTGCTTATGAGGGCATAGAGCTTATGGAACTTATTAAGTAATGATGTCGTTCTAGCCCACATTAATGAAAAACAAGTCACCTAGACGACTTAATCACTTTCAATCGAGATAGAGCATTGGAGTTGTCTAACCATGAATTTCAGACCAACGCGACCTTGAACACACAAATGTACTCGTCTTTTGGTAACCTAGACATCTCCTTCTCTCTCACTCTATGTTCACACAAAGGTAATTGTCGTTACCTATAGACCTAAAAAACATGAAGAAACAAAAAAGATCACATATCGAGAGCAGTTCCAAATCTTTGACAAAAAAAACTTAATATCAAACAATTACAACAAAACACTCCTTAAAGTAACAAAAAACATACCAGTTCCATCATTCAACTTGTAGGATCCATACTTTTCTTATAACTAGAGAGCAAGAATCCCACTCCCTTAGAAATTATTGAAAAGCTAGAATAATGTCTGATTAAAATATACAAATCGAAAGAGAGGAAACCACATATCAACAAAAGAAAGAAAACCAGATAAAGAAAGGGTGAATATGTGTGTGTGAATAGGTTGAAGTCGACAAAATGGTTGTAGAGGTAGTCAGAATCGATAATAACGGGGGTTGGGGCACCTGGAATCGATGATGATGGGGTTGGGGAGGCCATAGTTAATGTTTGGGCTGGGTGCCAATTGAAATTAGGTTAAGAATATAGCTATTTGAGACTTGGGAGGGATGCATCGGGGGAACGAAAATGGCAAACATGAAATTACAATAGCAACCGACTAAGCGTATATTTTCAAGAAGAAATAATAGAGGTATTACTACCATTGCTATACCCTTTCTAAAAGCTATGTTTTATTATTTGTCACTTAATATACTTTACATCGCTAATCTTTCGTTGATTTAGGTAGGGATTTAATTTGCCGTTGATTTCGTACCTGAAAGTCTAGTTGCTAGTATCGACAATAGCTTATACATATATATATATATATATATAAAATTTATACCTTCAAATCGATGCTAGTATTGAATATTAATTATTATAATTACATAAAAGGATAAACACATAATTCACATTAGATTATTACAAGATTAACAAAAAATGAAATTCCAAAACAATAAAACAAAAACATAGCTTACTCACACTAAATCTTGATTGAGAATTTGAACAATTTATTATATTATGAATCGGATGGTGGCATAGTCCACTTCTACAAGCTTTAAAAAGATTACAAGTGCCCATCTCGTTGTGATTTTGGTTTGAATGCCTCTAACAACAATGAGCTAAATGTTTTGAAATGTCTCATTTCATAGTCAAATTTAAAGCCAATGAATAAGTAACATGGGGAAGTGGTACAAATCCAACATTATATTATTGTTTATACGTTATAGCAGTGTACATGTAATTGACAATGGAGAGAAGATAATCCTCTATATGTTGAAAAACTGAAAAGGCATATGAGCATGTAAATCATTCCTTTTACCACTTACTACCTGTGTATATACGTTGAAAATGATGGACAACATATGTACTATATGTGGTTGTATCAGAGTTTGAAGCTTTGCAAAGCTACAACAAGAGCATTTTGAAACAATAAAAAACATTTTTCCTATGTACAAACACTTCACACACACACACACACACAGGGTTTTAATCCTGCAAAGTTGCAATATATGTAGGAGATAGCCCATAGTTTTAGTGCATCTTTCAATTAAAATTACTTTCAAATTATATTCCTAACCTAATTTTGATTTATATTTCATTCCAACGATTTATATGAATTTTGTTCACTAAATATTCTATGTCATTGTCTCCAACATTACAACACCGTTCATTGATCAGTTCATAACTAGCATGTCACACACATCATCATTCTAATCTTCTTTAAAACTGCCTAATGACTTACTAATAAACATTAAGATGGTATAATCTGCTTGTAGAGAAATTTAGTCAAGAAGAAGATGAAAGACTCGATTGTAAATATTTAAAAGGTTTAAGGATAGTCGATATAAAAATATTGTTATAAATCTAGTTTATGTATAGAATAAAAATGTTTAACTTGTTCTTGGTATTTTATTTGAAATATAAGAAATATAGGTTAAAAAATAAGCATGCGACACCAATTTACAATTTCTGAAAATATTTCTGGATAATGATGATAAGTTTATGAAACTTAAAGGTCTATATATGATTTGGCATGCTACAAAAACCCATGGTAGTGTTGTGAAGCTCAATATGAGGTCTAACATTGGTGATGTTCGAATATCTCAAGAAACTAAATATTTTTTGTAGGTAAACTACGTTAATGCACATGCCACTTCATCCGTGGTTGGTGATCCCATTGAATTAAAATCGCTTATGAACGTATTCAAGAACACTTCATGGACGAAAATCAATGCCACCAAGGTAAACACAATGATCGTCTAAATTATCTCTATAATATGAAATCCATATTGAAATTATCTTCTTATATGTTTTTCAGTCAATGATAGGTCATTGCATGGGCGCAACTGGAAGTCTAGAAGCCATTGCTACAATTAAAGCTATTCAAACAGGATGGTTACATCCTACCATCAATCAATTCGTATGTGATACCAATATTCCAATCGTTTTACATTGCTTTTTTATTCTTAAATTCTCATGTTTTGGTTGCAAATGTAGAACCTAGAACCAAGGGTGGAGTTTGACACTGTTGCAACTCAAAAGCAACAACATGAGATTAATGTTGGTGAGCTTTTTTTTTACCTTGCGTTTGGATTCCATGATTTTTTAATTTCACTAAACCAATGTTTTGGATATGCAGCTATTTCAAATTCAATGGGTTTTGGTGGACACAACTCTGTTGTAGCATTTACTGCATTCAAACCTTGATACAATCATTGACAATATCTCCATTATCAATAGAGAATAGTTTATGGTGTTTAAGGAATGTATCGATTTGTCAAAATATGCAATAGAATTTTAAAATAATATACAATTTATATAAGTAATAAGAGCTCAAAGCCATATTCTTTTTAGCATTATAAACTAATATCATTATCTATTTTATGAACAAAGTTTAATATATTGAGAGAAAACACAATCTTGGAGATTGGAAACAGGATGTTTAATACAAATAGAAAAAAAAAACAAACCTAAACAATACAAATGAAAAAATATCTAAAATATGAGCATAATAAAAACTTCAAAAACACAAGAAAAAAACTAAATACAAAAAAAAATTAATTGTAAGAAAATGAAATTTAGAGAGATTTGACTTTTAGTCAAATATTGATCAAAAGGGAAAATGGCCATTAATGAGAATTTAGTAAGTTTATGAAGTTTTGAGTTCATGAAAATGACCAAGATGAGTTTATGTCACTAAGATGAGGTTAAATGAGTAAGTTGAAGAGAGAATGCATAAGAAGATGCATTTCGGCCAAAAAGGGTAAAATGATAAATTTTATGTTTTAGGGTCAACTTTATGACTTAACAGATTAAGACCCGTGTTAAGTCAGGAAGAAATGAATTACCAGATTTGTAGAGCATATGAACACTTTTTTATATAAAGATCATGGAAAACGTGTTAGAAACGAAGAAGTTATGCGTATTAGAAGATAGGATAAAAGTTGACCCCAAAGTTGGAATGAAATCAACAATGTAGTTTGCTGGCCTCCACTGCGTGGTGAATAATTTTCTACGGTGCGGCAACATATGTACGTTACCATTTACCTCAAAGTGAAATGGCCACCATGACGTGGTGAGGCCTTCCATTACAACACAATGTCGAAACAGATTAAATACTTGATAAACCTCCCTTCTCACCAAAACACTCCCTATTTGTTATAGAAAGGAGCTCCAAAGATTCTAAGGAAAGAGGATGATCAAGTGGCACGAAAAAGTGCTAGAGGAAAGGGTTTAACATCAAAAGCCCCTAAGGTAATCATCTCCTCTATTTTCAAGCTAGTAGGGCTTTAATGGTGATTTATAGAATTTAACTAGAAAGGAGAGATTGCTCTTAGGAAGCTTGTTATTGATGTCATTAAAAGTGTTTAAGAGATTTGAACAAGTTTTCTATGTGATTTCTTAGGTGTAATCTGTATAAAAGGACAACAGAAGAAACAATTTTAATCCTTAATAGGCCCAAAAATCGAATTTATGCACAACCTATCAATTGCAGCACTTGTAGATCTTAGAAACCCTTGTACATCTTTGATTGATTGATGAGAGATTAAGAGTCCAACATATCACTCCGCTTTCGTAGTCGCACCCAAGGAACTCAGATCAACAACATCCGACAACAACCCATGCAACGAACACCATGAACGAAGGCTCCAAAATCCAGATATGTTGGAACAGTAGGTACCACTTCGTGGTAATGAAGATACCACAATATGGTGTCATGATTTTGAGGGTTTCAGGAATGAAGAGGTATGATCGAATTTTTCCTAGGGTTTTGAGTAAAACTCATAATCATAATTCCTCCCTAGGAGCCTTATATTTTTAGGGAAGGATAGATAAACCTAATAGATAATTATCTAGTAAACTAATAATTATCCATATAAATGATAATTATCTAACTGCTTAATTATCCTCCAGAACATTCCAGAAGTTCTACATTTCATTTAATTAATTGAATCATATTAATTAATTAACAAATCAAGTCCCTATATTTTCCCATGTCATTTGTTTCTTATCTATGTCCTTGTGTGTAACCCAAAAGGACCCTACTATTAATAGTAATATTACCAATTTCTTCTAACTGTGTTGGGACTATGGGAACCATTCTCCATCACTCCCACTTACACAAGTTACCAACACTATTTGGTCTAATATTCACTAGTAATAAGTAGAGCGTATACATTCAAATGTACTTGCCATACTCACAACATAAAGTCGTGATATATACCTTAGATAAGTGATCAAATAATCATTTGTTTCTTCAAATATATATATATATATATATATATATATATATATATATATATATATATATATATATATATATATATATATATATATGAACGTGATACATGAATATAGTCAATCTCAAACATTCAAGATTCTGTTTCTCGAAACCGACTTGTGTCAACCAAAAGCAAACTGCCACTACAAGAAAAAAAGCAATTAGCGGCGACACGTCGCCGGTAAAGAGTCGTCGCTACTACTCTGTCGCCATTGATCAAATTGTCGCCACTAAATAGAATTTTCGCCGCTAATTCACATGTCGCCGGTAATACTTTGTGTTGTCGGTAAAGATATAATCGCCGCTAATGCACATGTCGTCGGTAATAATGTCGTCGATAATAACATTTCTTCATTTTTTTTAATCAGCGATTTTGGGTATAATTAATTCCAAATACTGTTATAATTAATTCCATACCAAACATTACATAACAACATCCAATTAAATACCAAATATTGTTATAATTAATTTCATACCAAAATAAAACAATCAAAAGTTTTGCAATTCTAACAAGTAGCAAAGTAAGTTTTATAATTCTAACAAGTAGCAAAGGGTGACAACAAGTGTAACATACAAATAAAATTCATCCCTACATACCATCATCTTCGTTCCCATCGTGTCCTCCTTGATTATTTTGTGATTGAAAAAACGAATAAAGCTCCTCCCTATATGTCGGGTCGTTGAGCATTGTCCGAAGATTTTCCAACTATATAATAAATAACAACATATATAAACTTATAAGTTAAATTATCAAACATTGCCATTTTTAAACTAAGACAAAAAACCAAAGTACATTGCTATTTCTTGCATTTGGGACAAAAACTCAAATACCAAACGTTTTAGCAAATAATCACTACAAAACCAAAATGACCAAATCCACATGCATTTTATGATGTCAAACAACATTGCTATTTTTAAACTAAGACAAAAAACCAAAGTACATTGCTATTTCTTGCACTTGGGACAAAAACTCACATACCAAAGCTTTTAGCAAATAATCACCACAAACCCAAAATTACCAAATGAACATGCATTTTATGATCCCAAAGTACATCATTATTTTTAAACTAAGACAAAAAACCAAAGTACATTGCATTTATTGAAATTACCAACAAAAATTAACAAATCAACATGCATTTATTGAAATTAAATAATATTGTTTTACCTATGATGGTTGTGATGGTTGTGGTGGTGGTTGCGATGGCTGTGAAATCCGCGGGAGAGCAGAAGGTTTACGGCCGATTCCTCTGACATGGCCACGTCGCTTTCCTAATGGGTTTGTTCTAAGAGCTCTTCCCCTAACCGATTATGTATTTCCCAAAAGTGAGTAACAATAAAGTATAAATAAACACTTAATTATATGATAAAATTATAATTAAATATTTGCATATTGTTGTTCCAAGTCCATTTATCAAAAGGGACCATATGCCACGTTGTTTTTCCAACTTCTTGTGCAAACATCTCTTTGGGCTCTCCTACGAGATCATATGTTATATCCCTATCATATTCCATGGTAATCGGTTTGCCCTTATTCTGTAAGAGCGCTCTTTCAAGCTTTATATTTTTGCCTTTGCCTCAGACTTTCCTACGTACACAATGCTCAACTACAAATATAACTAAAAATTATTAGAAACGATATTTAATTTATAATAGAAATTCATAATAAAACTTACAGCCCTGCTCATGATGACTAGAACCTCTACCACTTGGGAAAGGTGAGTCTTCAGCTCCATCACCCCCGTGTCCACGACCCATGATAGCAGCCATGGTATACACAAACAAAAACCATATTGACATCATTTCCTGAAAAATTATAAGATATACAGATGCAATTTTTATGACAAATACATATTACATAGAAATAAACATTTACATAGGAATAAAGATTTCTATTTAAACTAGGAATAAAGTTTTGTACGACTTACTGAAACCATTTATCACATTTTTGACACGCACATCTGATTTTACCATTACTATCAAGGTGTGACTTAGACTTCTCGATAAAAGCTTTGAGTCCAGCTTGGAACTCGAGATGGTTTCGATGTGGATTACCATTCCAGCTTTTATCAATAGACATGATGTTACTGAAACATAATTTCGGGTTTAGACTTTAGTATACACAGTTAGCATTGTTTTTTTTACAATCCACATTGTTTTTTTTATAATTATAGCGTTGTACTTTAAACAATTATATGTGACTCACAAAAGTAGATATTACAGTTTAAAAAAATAAAAAATAAAAAAACTAAATTCAAAATTTTTTATTTATGCGTTTTTAATTAATTTTAATTACAATTACTTGTAATTTATATAGGAAAAAGTTGTAAGTATTAAATAAAAGGGTCAAAGATCCAACGAATCAAAATTTTCCACACGTTTGTTTTATTTATAGTAGATGTACAAACATACACATGATTATTGAAAAAAAAATTTAACGCCTGGTTCCTGGTATGCATTTAACTTTATTATTTATTCATTTTGGAAGGGCTACTCGACGAGTTGGTGGCCCTAACTCGTCGAGTAGAAGACATAATATGCGCGGGTTTTAAGTGAGCTACTCGACGAGTCGAGGTCCTGACTCGACGAGTAGGACAATCTGGATGAAACGCTAATCTTTAGGGCTTGCACCCTATTTAAGCATCATATTTGGCCTCCATCCCAGCCTCTATCACATCCATACCCTACTCTCGAAACCCTAATCAACCTTGAGTGATCTTGAGCTATTTCATTGCCATTTTTGTGATTTAAAGCTAGAAGAAGGAAGCGAAGGCTTGGAGTTGCAGAAGGAAGGTTGAACATCCAGAGCTAAGGACTCATTTCGGTCTTGATAGAGGTATAAAGCTTATACTTTGGCTTCTGTTCACTTAGATATTCATTTGAGCTTGTATGTTGTCATTTTTCGGCCATTTCCAAGGTTATTCCGAGA